TTTTTATTTTCTTAAGCTTCTCCGTAGTGTGTGACTTGTTTCCTTTTCTCTTTCAGCAGCTCCCACCCGGAGAGAAGCCCATGAAGATCGTGGGTCTGAGGAGAGCTGCTCTCGGAGAGATCACCAACTTTAAAGCAGCAGCAGTCAACACCAAGGTAAGTTAAATCATCATCATCATGGAAGAACTGTTTGGGTCAGCTACTGCTCCATGTTTCATGCCTCCTTTGTAGCTCTTTGAAGTGTTGTGTATCAGCCCTGTGAGCCAAAAATAAGGGAACACACCTGCACATGAGCTACACTTTAAGGCTACGAGTATGTGGACACTATAGAGTGGCGAAGTCCCTCCCCTTCCGGTTGAGCCCCATGGGACCTTATTTCGGAAAAGTTATGCATTGAAGTCAATGGAGAGAGAAAGATTATCTTTCGATCCCGTTTGAATTGTGCCACGAATTACACATATGATGTTTGTCAATTTAAAAGATAATTTTGCAAGTCAAAAAAAAAAAAAATGTGCCGTAAAACTGTGAAGTAACACATTTGTTTGTGTGAAACGCTAAATGAACTACATCTCTCGTCAACCACACACGTCACCAAGATGGCCGTCACTACTGTCTTGTCAACAAACGATTGACTATCACCACAATGAAACACGTCCTGAAGAATGTCATGCAAAGCTGCCTGCCTGCCTTCCTTTGATTCTCTCTGAACTGCCTGGTCGTTTTAATGTCAACCATTTGTGCAGATAGCATGAAGTAGAAAAGATCGCCGATGCTAACGTTAGCGTTAGCATTTCTCCCCCGGAATTAAATGGTGTATTATAGAATGATCACACCGGTGACAGTACTATTCAAAGGGTTCACGAAATATGACTACTACTCTTACTGTTTAACATTTTGGGTTACTTAATGTTACTTCATGTTAAGGCTAATAAAAATGACAAGGCTGTAATGCTAACTAACGTGCTAGCTACTAGCTAGGTAGCTAACTTGATCAAGCCACTCCTGGTCGTTTCATCAGACGGGAAGCAAAAGAACGAGCAAGACCCATTGCTGGTATAATAACAACCTGGTACTAAGCACACAGGCATCTTGTTAAAGTTATCTTATCTTAGCCAGCGCCATATAGATAGATTATATCTATATTGCGCTGATCTTAGGTATCTGAATGGTGGAGGTAAACAATTGTGACATCACTTACGCGACTCTAGGATTTGTAGTCTTTCTAGTTACGTATTTTTCATAGTCTTATATTTCAACAGTTTTACGACAAACTGTGACTTTTTTGACATGGAAATGATTTTTTAAGTTTGACAAACATCATGTGTGTAATTCATGGCACAATTCAAACGGGATCGAAAGATAAGTTTTCTCTCCCCATTGACTTCAATGCATAATTTTTCCGAAATAAGGTCCCATACCCCGGAAGTAAGTGGGAGGGACTTCGCCACTCTATTCATAAAGCTAAAACCAAGCAGCACATCATTGTTGCAGTTCATGTTTAAACATGCATCTTTCCAAACTTGTTTCCTTAGAAGACGGGCCCTGCCAAAGCTTCATTCAAACCCTCAGTGAAAGCCTCCATTGCCCCTAGAGCTCTAGCTGTGGTGCTGCCCATGGCCCCGGCCCCTGCAGACCCCCTCCCCACAGTCTCAGAGGAGTCTGCTGATGTGTCCATGAAGGAGGCGGAGGAGGAGGAGGAGGAGCTGTGCCAGGCGTTCTCTGATGCGCTGCTCATGGTGCAGGATGTGGATGTGGATGAGGAGGACGGGGACCTGCCGCAGCTCTGCTCAGAATATGTCAAAGATATCTACAGCTACCTGCACGTCCTGGAGGTAATTCACCCCTCCAGTAATGCTCTCTTTTCCCACCCTGCAAGGTTGAGTGTTACATCTGTTTGTCTCCACAGGTGGAGCAGGCTGTACGACCCAACTACATGCAGCATTATGAGATCACTGAGCACATGCGGGCTGTCCTGGTCAACTGGCTGGTCCAGGTGCACTCCAGGTTCCAGCTGCTGCAGGAGACTCTGTACCTCACAGTTGCCGTCCTGGATCGATTCCTCCAGGTAGGAGAGGTCTAAACTGTATTTTCTTTGTGTTTTGTGAGCTGTTTGTAAATGTCTGCCGCTGTGCTTCAGGTCCAGCCGGTCTCTCGCAGGAAGCTGCAGCTTGTCGGTGTGACGGCCATGATGGTGGCCTGTAAATACGAGGAGATGTACGCTCCAGAGGTGGGAGACTTCGCCTACATCACAGACAGCGCCTTCACAAAGGCTCAGATTCTGGTGATGGAGCAGCTGATTCTGAGGACCCTCAACTTTGAGCTGGGACGCCCTCTTCCTCTGCACTTCCTGAGACGGGCTTCCAAAGTGTCCAATGTGAGTCGTTGCGCGGATTTGTTTGGGACGCTACTTTTTACTTTAGTAATTGTTCAAATTTGCTAGGTCTGCAGCCTAATGCTGCGTTCACACCGGACGCGATGCGATGTTTGGGGGCGGCGCGATTACATGTAAAGTCAATGCAGAGATGCGGACAGACGCGAATTCGCTCCGACGGCGCGCATGAAGAGGTGGACGCGGCGCGAATCACGCGATTGAACGGTGCCGCGTTAAACGCGAGAGTTCAATTTTTTTTTTCAACTAGAGTGTCAAATTCACCTGACGCGTTCTCGCGGAAGCCAATCAGCGGTGAGGATCTCAGCCTGCCGTCACTGACGTTCAACCACACAACATCAGCCGTTAGCAGTTAGCACACAGAGCTCACAGCTCCTCATATCTGTTCAGAAACTGGACAAAAGTTAAACAAGTGCAAACCACAGACTGTCTGTGCCATGACGAATACAGTCGCTGGTTTATTTATGTCTGTAGGCCATTGTTATGAGTGTGGAATGAGCATATACAACGTTAGCTTAGCCTGGTCGACCCGATCTTCATTCAGAAAACAAGCATTTTAAAAGGTGTTTTGCCTGCCCTCTTGTCTGCAGACTTGTCAAAGCATTAATTCATGGTTGTTACTAACCGGTATCAGTATGTTGTTACTTCGGCATCATTTAGAAACGTGTATTACAATTTAATCACGGTAAAATATGTTGTTGTAGCTCCCGAGCCAGCGTGTCTTGTTTGAATGATGAGAGTAAACACAGCTGGCAGCCGCGGTGAAACTCCAGCGTTTAGAGCGATGCGATTAGAGCGAAGCGAATATTCGCATTGCGTCCGGTGCGAACGCAGCATTCTAGACAGATGTTCTCCTAAAACCACCTGCAAGAATGTGTACAATGTGTCTTAAGACTTCTCAGTGTGCTTAATGTTCTTTTGTGCCTCAGTCTGATGTAGAGAGACACACGCTGGCCAAGTACCTGATGGAGTTGACGCTCCTTGACTACCACATGGTGCACTATCGGCCCTCTGAGATCGCTGCTGCTTCTCTGGCGCTCTCCCAGCTGCTGCTGATAGCCCTGCCCTGGGTGAGTAATGGCATTAGTCCACTCTGGCCAAAACTGACAAATTCTTCCTCACTATTGACAATTCCACAGTCCCACCCTCCCCCCAAGTTAAGAGTCTGGGTGTCATCCTTGACGGCACCTTATCATTTGAAGCTCACATCAACATCACTCGATCTGCCTACTTCCACCTCCGCAATATTAACCGCCTCCGCCCGTCACTCACACCAACAGCACCGCCACCCTCATCCACGCCCTCGTTACATCCCGTATTGATTATTGCAACTCCATCCTCTCTGGTCTTCCTCACAAATCCCTGCGTAAACTCCAACTGGTCCAAAACTCAGCCGCCCGTATCATTACCAGAACTCCTTCCATTAATCATATCACTCTGGTTCTCCAACAACTCCATTGGTTAAATACCGCATAGATTTGAAAGTGTTGCTCCTCACCTTCAAGGCCCTTCACACTCTTGCACCTCCATATCTCTCCGAGCTCCTTCACATCTACACTCCCTCTCGTGCTCTCCGATCCTCCTCTGCCTTCCAACTCACTGTACCTTCTGCCCGCCTGACCACCATGGGGTCAAGAGCCTTCAGTCACTCTGCCCCCCGTCTCTGGAACTCTCTCCCACAAGACATCCGCAATATGGACTCACTCTCAACCTTCAAATCCAGCCTGAAAACACACCTTTTTAAACTGGCATATTCAATACCTTAATTCTGCTAAACTGATTGTTATATGAAGTCTTTGTTTTTGAAGTCTTGTATTGCTGTGTGATCTTTGTTGCTTGTTTTTGTTTATGCTCTGTAAGGTGTCCTTGAGAGCTTTGAAAGGCGCCCATAAATAAAATGTATTATTAGAGGGGCATCTACACTTAAAATGTTTCATTTTCCTGATGTTAATTTTTCTGTCTTGTCTCAGTCTCCTCAGCAGCAGCACTACACCACTTATGACGCCGCCCACCTGAAGCCCATCATGCAGCACATCGCCAAAAACATAGTGATGGTCAACGAGGGGAAGACAAAGTTCCAGGTGAGTTGAACGACCAAGTATAAGCATTAAAGTTTTGATGTGTAGCAAAAATAAAAACCTTTTTCCTCTGCAGGCTGTGAAGAACAAGTACTCGAGCAGCAAGCTGATGATCAGCCTCATCCCTCAGCTGAACTCGTCCATCATCAAGACGATGGCGGCCGCTCTGCTCAGCAATCCTTGAACTCTTACATCATCAGTGGACGTTTCACTTGCACTTTATTTAAGATTGATCGCAATCTGTGGAAACTACACTTCAAATGTTTTTATTTTTTATACGCATGATGTTTTGACAACTCTTTACGGTACATCAGATGTTCCTCCAATGCACCTTGAACTGCAGTTCCACTTAAGCTAGAGTTTAGATGATGCATCGCTTCCAATCAGAAGTTGTGTGCACCAAGATTGTTCTTTCTAGTTTGTGTTTACCATCTGATTTCTTAAGTCTACCTCAAGAGTTAGGGCTTTATTGTGTTTTTGCTTTCTTAAAAACATTTGAAGACACATTTTAAGATAATTACTGTTGTATCATGCTTTTTTTTTTTTTTTTAGTATGTGTTGCGTTGTAGAATGTTGGATATACCAGTATTTTTTTAATCTAAAGAGGTTTTAAATGGCTGAGGTTGTATTTTCATTTTTGTACTTGATTCATAATGACAGCTGGCTGATGTATGGATTTGTTAATCCATCAGGTTTTCGTTTAGTAACTAATATTTCTGTATGAATGTGTTTGAGTGAATCCCCACTAACATTTATATTTATTTGCAACCATTTCAAAATTATTAAACCTTTAAATGAAAATAAAATCTATTTTAAAACAACAGAAAATGCAAACTTTTTTTTTTAACCAGTTTATTACTAAAATAGGTTCGTGTGTGAGAAGCCGACAGGTTTCATATTGACTTAAGGAGTCCCGTGGGCAGGACTCGGGTCAGGTGTTCAGGTGAAGCGGACTCTGCGCATGGAGCCCACGGTGCTGTTCTGGCTGCCCCAGTCGGAGAAGTTGTTGTAGTCGCGCTTCTCCAGGATGTAGTGAGGCCCTCTGTAGTTGGGCTCCTGATAACACACCCAACTGCAAACGGAAGGGTTAGTCGGTTAAAAAACACGTTTATTTTCAAGATTTTTATTTTTTTTAATACATCTAAAAACTGCGTGTAGTCATCTAGAATTACTGCTTCTGTTTTTCTGTCATTAGTTATTGACCCAAGCTAGCTTTAAAATCTAATTGAAAGCTTCAAACAGGAGCAGCTGTTGAACTTAAAGGGGCGATTCACTCTAAATAAAAAAATTCATATTTCGCTTACCACAATTGCTATTGATCTAGATGTGTTGTGAATAGTTGAGTTTAGGAGGTATACACCTTTTATCTTGGATATTGGAACAAGAGGGCACTGGATTTATGCACCAAAAAAAAATGGGGAAATCCTGACCCTGTTCCTCAAGAGGATTCCGACCTTGACTTGAGTAAGGAACTATCTTCTTTATGCCAAACTATGGCCACTGTCTGTATTATAGCACATAGGCCCCTGCCCATTCACTGTGGGGTGTAGTTTGTTTGAATATCACACTACAGGAATGAGAAAAAATGTGTAATTTTGTTTTTGGGGTGAAATGTTCCAAGTCCAAATAGACTTGATTGGAGGAGTCACAGATGATATATAAATAGGTTGTTGCACTTACGCTCCTCCGAGCACACGGATGGAGGCGACCCTGTTGAGGCTGTAGCGGCTCATCAGGTTGGGGATGTCATCCTGGATCTCCATCTTCTTACCGGAGAAACCGGCACGCTCAAACAGATGAGCCTTGCCAGGATTGTTGTCCTGAAATAACAAACACACAGTGTCAGTCAGGGACAGCTGGTGGGTGTTTCTGGATCAGTGGACTCTGTCACGATACTATCTACAAATCATTTTAGGCCATCTAACTTAAAACATTTAACCCTTATTGTCTGGAAAACTTTTGTCAAATGATTTTAATATTTGAGGACTTCTATAATACAGTGTAAACATGTCTTACATATTTGGTACCAATGAAATGCCAACTGGGTGGGTGTCTATAGCTACAAGATATAAGGTGGTAACGTTTATTTAGGGGTAACCTGAAGTAAATTACAGCCCCCAATACATAACTACAAGTTACTTATTTTCCTCTTGTTTTTTTTAAATGACCTCCCTTTCTATTTTTTCAGTAGTTAAGTCATTTAAATGTATTTGTCAGTTTTCTAACATTTACTGTAGGTACCCATGACATATTTAATCAATTTCCACACATGTTGCAAATAACTACACACCACTAATATCTCAAATCTGTCAAAATTACTTCTACAGGGTTTGAAGATCCAAATCTTTATATTTATAGAGATTATTTTTGATGTGTTAAGCTTTGAATAATGCATGAAAATAACAGAAATAGCACTTACTGATGCAGTAGCTAGGACTTTAGAGGATTAAACGTGAGCTACTGTACAGTGTGCACACATCCAGTCCAGGTCTCAGAGTGTATTCCTCTTCCCCTGGACTAACTGTACGTACTGTAACGTGTGTTTTAGCTTCATGTCTCACCTGTTTGACAGCACGGACAGAGGAGACGTGGTCCACCTGGGCGGACCACTTGTCGTAGCAGTTGTACTCTCCCCTCTCGGACATGTCCCACAGGTACTGACGGCCGCGGAAGTTCTCATGCTCGTAGCCGATCCATCTTCAGAGGAGAGGAGAGTCAGTCAAAAACACAGCTAGCAGACTAGTTACTTTGCAGATTTGGTTTAATGATGTGAAATATAATCAACTCTTAAATCAGTCTTTAGTTACACCTGGAGTAAATTCACAAGCTACCCTGCAGTATACAAAGTCATTAAAACTAGCTGCACCTTTACCAGCTTTGATAACACTTTAATGCAGCACTAATTATAATCAAAACATATGATATATATTATTCTGAAATGGGCCAATCTGCATAATGACTACTTTTTTGATGCAAATGCTTTTCTACTTTTACTTGAGTAACATTTTGAATGCAGGAGTTTTTCTTGTAACAGAGTACTCCTACACTCTGGTACTTCTACTTTTACTCAATTACAAGATCTGAGTGTTTCCATATTTGTAGGCTCCCATCTGAACTATAACAAACTAAGTCTACTGCTACACTTCTGGAGTTTCACTATTTAAAAGTTGAAAAAAGGTGAACCCATTCACTGTATTGAGGTCCACTGACAGGTTGCTGTTATCTGTTGCTGTCCATTTCCCCTGTGGACTCTTGTGTGTGTTGCAGTGACCTGTGGTGTGCTGTAGGTGGGGTTGCAGACTTACGCTCCGCTCTCCACCTGCACAGAGTTACATCTCTCTGGGAAGCTCTTGTCACTGAGCCTGGCACAGTCAGAGCTGAGGTCCAAACGCCTGCCGGCGAAGTTCCTCTGCTCGAAAAGAGTCACCTGAGGGCACAGACACCACGGGAAACACATTGTATTAAAGTTAAACATCAGCACTCAGATGTTCATCGCCAAAAAACTCTAAACTACTGACATCTTCAGTCACACTATAAGGTTTTTTCCTTAACGTTTTGAACATTTTGACACTAATACCTACAATAAGCCATGATGAATTTATATCATTTGTTGTTCTGATTGGGAGGGAACATGTCAATCTTAAGAAAATATAAAATGATGGGTTATATTCTCAAATGGTCAGATTAGAAATTAGTAACCAATTACAAAGCTTCCAAAGTATATGTAAAGGAATACACAATATGAAATAACTAAAATATTTGGTTTACAGTAAACTGATGTTGTGCTAAATAACATGCAGTAGATATTTCTTTGTGAACCACAGCTGAGAGCAGTGACTTTCTGGAAACTAAACCACAACATCGAAAATAACTAGTGAGCTTTTAGAGTTGCTTGTAGGTTAAGTCTTTATGCTAAGTTACACAGCTTTAAGTAATAGAACAAAGATAATATAGCTATTCTTCGTCAGCCAAGAGGTCCCCACAGAAAATGATATATATGTTTTACATTATACTAAACAATACTGAACAGGTAAATGACACTTCATCACTTCATAACAACATGTAACTCACCCTCCCACTGGACCCGTAGAAGGCACGTTGGAGTACAGACCCCAGCTTGCTGTAGATATAGAAGGTTTTATAGTGAATAATTACACCCCCAAACACTCTACACCATCATTCAAAACAGATGATAAAGGAATAACAGAGTAACTTCATAAAAACATGACAGTGTGTTGAGGTATAACTAAAGACCTGAGCTACTGAAATGTCATAATTGATGTCACTTTGGTCAAGAAACACTGAAGTGCTACAGATTGTAACCAATAAGGAATTAGAAGTATTTTCATGCTTTCCAATTTGAAACTACACTGTGCAGAATGTGTGCATGTCTCCTGCCATGATCACATCACAAAATCGGGTGATTTAGGGAAACTGGTATAGCCTGAGAACCAGCAGCAGGTGGGACGTGGAGCCATGGGCACCCCCACCCCGACACCTCTGAGCAGGGGGCTCTTTGGGTCTGGTGCGCGGCGCTCTGGACATACCTGGTTTGTTGGGCTAATCCTGTGACTTTAGTGAAGATGTTCATGTCAGCTCTGTGACGCAACAAGAAAGCCCCTTAAATACAGCCAGGTGAGCTGAGCCCACAGGTGCTAGAACACTCAGAGGGGTTCTGCAGCAGTCCATTGATATGCTAAACACACAAACACAGTCATGTTCTCTGTTGTCACACACACACAGCTGCAAACACGGCATGCAGAGGACAATTAGACATACAAACACACATTTGGCCAGCAATAGAAATAGATGTGTTCATGCAGATACACAAACACTAGTATAGAGAACAGAGTTTCTGCACACACACACATAGATACACACACACACAAACACACATGTAAATATGAGAGTGCAGTGCCAACAGTTTTTGGCTTTGAACAATTCAGCGTTTTAAACGACAATGCCCTTTAAACAATGCTCTGTATGATAATGGTTGTATTCATGCTTTGTGCATGGCCAGCTCCAGCAAACTGTATTCAGTGTAGAGGTCGTGACCTTGAGCTGGGGGGGGGGGGGAGACAGAACCTCTGTGAACTTGAATGTACAGTTTTAGACTTTTCCACTCTGACGGCTCCACTGATGTGGTGGAGACACAAATCAGACATATTGTGTGATTAGATATTCTTTTAGACTTAAGTCAGTTGTATGTAGAGACGTTTACCATCTTAAGGGGAGAAATTGTAGGCTAAAATTGTTTTATCTTTTCCATTTGCATCTGAAGATACTGCCTACATTTACCAAAAGTTAGCAGGATAATGCCTAATTTCCATGTTTAAACAGAAAACTTCATAAACTTGTAATAGAAAAAATAATTGTCTGAACGCAAGTAATCCAATGGAGAGGTTTCCTGGTGATATCTATTAGTTATAAGTAAGTACTTTAATGCACTTACATGCACCAAACTCTCCAGTTTTATTCCTATCTATATTTAATATTTTTTGACAGAGATGTTTATTCATATATCTGATTCAAATCACATTTTCTTCCTTAAAAACACGCCAAAGATTGATCTTTTTGTGTGTTAAAAAGTGAAAGCCAAAATACCAACTGTAGATTTCTGATCCAGAAATGTATGCAAATTAGCATATTTAGTAAGATGGGTATATAGTTTATGTTAATATTTCTTATTTGATACTATTTTATGCTGCAAAGTACATACGGGATTGTTAATGTTCCAACTACACTCCAGTCATTAGCTGAGGGTGGACAGTCTTCAAACCCTGAGCATACACTTTGAATTTGTCTCTTATTGGTCTGATAACACTGACTTTACAATGAAAAATACACAACACATTTTTCTTAAGAAGATTGGTGTGTCCTGAAGAACACAATAATAATGTAATAATCATTAATAACTCTTCCATTCAGAGAGTGCACTGTTGTACAGGATTTGTAAAAGGTGTACAATGAACATAACTATGTAGGTGCATTGACTCCAAACGACTCATTTATTTGATCAGTCTGGAGGCATCCAGTAACTAACTTAATTTCGTTTAACAAATACATTTTAAACATCATAAAAAGTAAATATTTGAAGTTCTATTGTAATAGATTATATGTAAGTAAAGTATAATATATGTGAACATATCTTTCAAAATAAAAAATCTATATCTTTTATTCACTAATACTTTATGTGGATTAAGACAAATGAGAGTAAAAAATGAGAAGAAAAACACAAACAGACATTTGTCCTCATTAAAGGTGTCCACAAATTAACCGATTGGAAAAATAATAATACATTTCTGCTCTAAACATTGAGACATTAACAAGTCAAACAAAACAAAGTGTGGCACTGAGCTGCCACTGTATCAGGTTCACTGACATTAACTCTGCTTACAGTGTCAGAATCACCTCCTTTTCTAAAAGATCTGTTGGCCACAGCAAATTCACTGTTACACCTCACTGACTTCAAATGGAGCGGTATTCAGAGCGCATGTGGATGGGATAGGGGAGGGGGAGTCTCTGTATGGGGGCTGATGAATAGCAGAAAATGTCCCTGGATGATTCACTCGGTTTTGTTTTTGTAACATTGGCTCTGAACCTGCCGGTGACACTGGGCGGCATTAACTAGGTCCAGAAGCTTGGGGACGTTTCTTGCACTTTGGAGCAGTTTCCAGCGGAGACAAATGCAGGACGTGCCGCAGGTCAGACATCTATATGTGGTTCTGAGAGAGGGGCTGAGGCTGAGACAGGCTGGGCAAAGGGACACATGTAGGCAGAGAAACAGCACAGGCTTTGGCAGGAGGACTCTCAGGGAACTTCACACTTTTTAACCCTCATCTTGGTTATCTTTCACACCACTGGAGATTTACAGAAGCTTGAAATGTCGCTCATCCTGACCGTGCTGAACAAGCTGGCTAAATTCCTGTCTGTGATAGCCTTCTGTGTCAGTGTGTCTTACAGCTGGCTGAAATGAAACTAGATTCTTATTTTATATCTTAGAGTTCTGATAATGACCGGGTGTGTTTTCAGTGGATTTTTAAGAAATTATACTGAGGTTTGGGGTTTATGTTAGAATGGTAACCTGTGGACACCTGAAGCCTTTGAGTGAGTTTCTCAATCTTTGTACAGGAACAGGATATGACAGCAGATGTTGCCTTTGGCCTACGTGTAAGCCATGATATCTGTGAAATCAGAGTTCAAAAAAACTGATTTTTTTCCTCCAGGTGTAAAAAGACAGAGTTCCTTGCCAAAGATCACAATGCTGCAGCGGTGCATCCTGAGGACGTACCATGTGCTTGCTCTGGTGCTGTGTGTGTCAGCCAGGGAGGACTTTGACTGGACCAAGAATGAGAAAACATCTTTCTACTACAGCACCTTCCCAACTGGTAAGACGAAACCTGCACTATAGTCATGTAAAACTTGGTACTATGCTGCATAAATATTAACACAGCTCCCCACTTTGAACATAGTACATAGTATTGTCATTTCTTATTATATTTTATTCTATATATTTTATGTAAATATTGTCTTTATTTTTCATTTGATACAATAGTCTTAAACATTTTTATTACGTATACTTCTTTCTGTGTTTATGTATGCACCACTTATACCAAAGCAAATTTCTTGTATGTGTAATTGGTAATAAAACCAATTCTGATGCTGACATTGATTGTTTCCTCTGTTTTCCTCTGCAGGTTTCTCCTGGGGAGCTGGCAGCTCCGCCTATCAGACTGAAGGAGCGTGGAACATAGATGGCAAAGGAATGAGCATCTGGGATGCATTCACCCGCAAGAAGGGGAAGATATTCCTGAATGACACTGGAGACACATCGTGTGACGGCTACAACAAATTCAAGGTGACATGCCGAGGGAGCATCTAGTTTCCAGTAAATAAGTGTTGTTTTTGTTACACACGTTAGTTGAAGTGCTAAACATTAAGTCTTACCTTTAGAAGTAACATCAGAAAAATCTGGGCAGAAAAATGATCTGTCTGACATTATTTTCTCTTTAATCTCTTAGATTTGTACCTTTTTACATAATATGTAAGATTAAGATCCATTTGTATTAGGGTTGTACCAACTTTTGAATATTTTAAATGTCTTTGTTTATTATTTAAGATACATCTTCTCATATTTGGTATCTCCGAAACCTTGTAAACAGATTGATATCCCTTTCATCTCTGTATGGTAAATATCAGGCTATAGCCAAGAAGCGTTTAGCTGAGTTAGCATTAAGACAAGAAACAGTGTCAAGCCGCTAGCCAGGACTATCTGAAAATAAAATAAATCTGCCTTCCAGAACCTTTTTAGGAAAGCTAAATGAAACAAATATACAATTACTTAACTGTAAAGGTCATTGCAAAGAGCTAGCTGTTTCCCTCTTTTTCCTTTCATTGTGCTAAGCTAAGCTAAGCCCTTCCTGGCTGCAGAGTGGTCGCAAAGTTCTCTAACTTTCGGCAAGAAAGCAATAAATATATTTCTCAAAATGTCGAACTTTTCCTTAAAATTAAGTTCTGAGGCTGTGAATAATGTTTGACTGCACTGCATGATATTTAAAAATCAAATCGTACTCGTTGTTTTCTTAGGATGACATCACCTTGATGAAGGACATGAAGCTGAATCATTATCGTTTCTCCATCTCCTGGCCAAGGATTTTACCAAGCGGACTGAAAAGTAACCATGAGCCTGGCCTTTCTTATTTTAATTTCCTGTGCTCTTTATCGTTGTACACAAAATACTTTTGGAGGTTTGATTGTTGTAATAATAATTTTCTTGCTATTTCTCGTAACATTTTTCATATATATTCTTTTACTTGCTACTCTCTCAGGTGAACACATCAACGAGAAAGGAATCAAATACTATGAAGACCTGATTAACATGCTGCTGGACAATAAGATCACTCCCATTGTTATTTTGTATCACTGGGATTTACCACAGGTGGGCCCTAAACTCACTAAACCTTTCACATTTACAGATTTGAAGCTACGCCGTAGAAGCTAACATGACTTTGCTCCCTAGCTCTTACAGGAGAAGTATGGCGGGTGGCAGAACGTCACCATGGTGAACTACTTCAACGACTTTGCTAACTTATGCTTTGAAAGATTTGGACATAAAGTGAAATACTGGATCACGTTCAACAATCCCTGGGTATGTCCGGGTTGGAGGGAAATGGTGCATTGACTGTCTTGTGAAACATTTTTGTGTTTGACTTGGATAACGGAGAGTGTTGTCTTGTGTTCTCAGTCTATTGCTGTGGAGGGATATGAAACAGGGGAACATGCACCAGGAATGAAGCTGAAGGGAACCGGAGCTTACAAAGCTGCCCATCACATCATCAAGGTAAGACTCAAGAGATGATGCTTTGTGTTCCTTTCTCCTTGTATGCTAATTGAATATGACTAACACTACTGTACTTTGTGATACTTTAGTCATGTTTACTGTACATAGTTCTTTGCCCGTTGTTTGGCCAGCGTTACAAATGTTTTCTTGCAACCGGTTTACACATTTACAAGCTGAGAATAATTTGTTCAGGTTTTCTTATGGTGCAACCTGATTTAGTAAATCACAAGTTTGAAACGAATTAGTTGATATAGAGATCTTAGACCGACATAAAGCTGACGCTGCCTTTCTGTCTCTGAAACAGGCACATGCTAAAGTTTGGCACACGTATGACATGCAATGGCGAAGCAAACAAAAAGGTGACAGCACAATTTTGTTTTCATTTTGGTATTTATGGTCATCAAAGTCAAAGATAATTTGCCATCATGCTGTATGTGTTTGGTGTGTCCAGGCATGGTTGGTATCTCGCTAACGGCTGACTGGGGTGAACCAGTGGACATCACCAACCAGAGGGACATTGAAGCAGCGGAGAGATACATCCAGTTCTACCTGGGATGGTTCGCTACCCCCATCTACAATGGAGACTACCCCCAGGTTATGAAAGATTACATCGGTACGTCACGGTCAACTGCAACTGTTTATAGGAGACACTACACACTAGAAAAATGAAAGCATCTGTTATTTGGCTTAAAACTCAAATGTTCGTTAGCTTGTTGGCACCGTTGTTTGTCTGTTGTCATTTTAGTTTCAGTATTAAACTCGATGAATTTCGACCTTTAGGTAGGAAGAGTGGCCAGCAGGGACTGGGAGCTTCACGGCTGCCCGTCTTCTCGCCCCAGGAGAAGAGTTACATCAAGGGAACCTGCGACTTCCTGGGCCTCGGACATTTCACAACTCGCTACATCACCCCGAAGAACTATCCATCTGGGCTGGGAGACAGCTACTTTGCAGATCGTGACCTTGCTGAGCTGGTTGACCCAAAATGGCCTGATCCAGGCTCTGAGTGGCTCTATTCTGTTCCCTGGGGCTTCCGGCGCATGCTGAACTTTGTCAAGGTATGCAAATAAAATGTCCAGACATACAGCTGTACAATATAGGCAGAAAATGGAGTGAAGTTCCATTGCTAGATGTTAAATTGATTAATCTCAGAAATGACAACAAAAATGCCATGTAAGTTCAAGGTTCAAGGTTCTTTATTTGTCATACGAACATAGCTACAGTGTAGTTATGCCGATGAAAATCTTGTGTCACAGGCTGTCACCGTGCTGCAAGTTAAGGATTCACAGTGGTCTAAAGTCAACTGATCCATTTAGAGACACATTATAAAGGGCTTAACCATGTTTGAAAAAGCAATAGATGGCTTTTAAATACTGAAATGTTTCCTTAATAAATAATTAGAAATAAGCTTAATTTGATTGAGAAGAGTGATATCAAACTCATGTTTGTATGTTAGCTATAAAGTAGAGCAGAGTATGAAGTAAGGGAAATCATCTAGCTCAGAAGTTCAAAAATACAATTACTAGCAACTTTTAAGCTCAATGATTTTGTTTATCGTGTTAGTTTAGTTGCAACAATTACATACAAATAAAAAAATTAATAATGTGTGGCACACAACAGTTAAAGGTGGGGTAGGTCATTTTGGAGAAACCAGCTCGAGTGCGCTAGAATTTGAAAATACACAGCCGGAACAAATCTGCCACTTCCTTACAGAGCCCCTCCTCCAACACACACGAATGCGCACATGACCAATGAGGGCACGAGATAAGTTTGTGCACAGATGGAAGGCTGACAGGCAGGTAGGCCATCCAGTTATTTTAGCCGGGCCGGCTAAAATGATTGGTCGTGCTTTTTACAGTATTACGGCTTCCACAGATTACATTTTTTTATGGATTTTTTGTCAAAGCACTTCAGATATTCATTGCTATCAGGATGTTAAGAGCATTCCATGGAATATAACAAAAAGTGTATCTCGAGCCGGTTTCTCAAACTTACCTACCCCACCTTTAATCATGCCCCTAGCACTCCTGGCTGTTTCCCTCTGTTTTCTGTCTTTATGCTAAGCTAATCTCCTACTAGCTCGAGCTCTACAGTTAACACACACAGTCATGAATGGTATTCATCTTCTCATTTAAGCCTGAAGATTTTTCACATTGCATCATGCCAGTATAACATATTTTGTTCAATAAAACACAAGTACAAAAGGGTCAGTATGTATTCTATTCTTATGTATAATGGTGTCTCTCTAATAGACTCAGTATGGAAACCCCATGGTATACGTGACAGAAAATGGTGTCTCGGAAAAAATGGTCTGCACCGACCTCTGTGATGACTGGAGAATGCAGTACTTTAAAGACTACATTAATGAGATGCTCAAAGGTAAAATAACAGCTCTACTAAACACTGTCTGGTCCGTACATTATACTAATAATAGTGGCCACGTAAAATTAAACATGTCACCTGTTTTGTATTTTTACGTTTCCATGGTTTTACTAACAGCGGTTAAGGATGGCGTCAATGTGAAGGGCTACACAGCTTGGTCTCTCCTGGACAACTTTGAGTGGGATGAAGGATTCTCCGAGAGATTTGGACTCTACTACGTGGACTTCAGCAACAAAAATAAACCACGCTACCCCAAGGCCTCTGTCCAGTTCTATAAACGCATCATCAGCTCCAATGGCTTTCCCAATCAGAGAGAGGTAAACTCAAACAACACACTAAACGTTCAAAGTCTGTCTGGAGCACAACAAGTTTAACTGTTTGTTGGATCTTCACAGGTGGAGAGCTGGAAAAGGAAATCCGTAGAGACTTGTGCTTCCAGTAACCAGCTCCTGGCTGCGGGTTAGTACAATACAACATTATAAAGTGTAGGCTGTGCTAAAGCTGGGTGGGGAAAAACAAAGAAAAATTCTGTCTCAAGCTTGTTATTCCGCTCTCTAACAGAGTTTTTCTTTGTTTCGCCCCTCCAGCTAGAAGAAAGTCCCAGGGAAATCAGGAAAAGGCTTGGCCAGTGCATGATGAAGTTTAGGTACAAAGTTGTTTCTGAGTAAGATTCAAATGTTTTTTTTAATTATGGAATGCTGTTTTATACCTCTACTCGACGCCACTTCATGTATATTTCACTTCTCTACATTTTACTGACAAAAATGAAACTTTTAAGGCCTTGTGTTATTTCACATATAATGTAAGACTTATCAAAGTCAAACAGCCAAATATAGGTTTTGGATTATTACCCACACATGTAAAGAGAGACATTACTTTCCTGTTATGCACCTTTTTTCTATGATTAGAAAATTGAACTGTAAATTGGGGACATTGACTTACATGTATGTGTTTCAGATCCCTTGATAGGCCACATGGAGATGGTATCAGAGATCGTGATTCCCACTGTGTGCACACTCTGCATCCTCCTCAGTGCAGTGTTCCTCATGTTCCTGCTGCGTGGACGCATCTAAAAGAACACACGCACGCACGCACGCACACACGCACACACACACATCTGAGAGTGCCTTCAAACCTGTGAAACTTTATCCTGTCGAGAGCATTTTGTTGATTTAACTGTCCTGCTTTTCTGTTTTGAATAAAAACATTTCTGGGTTGTCAGTATTTAGTTTAAATAGCCGGTACCTGTCACAACTTTGGAAAAATTGATTCAAGCTTGGTATATTATGACTATTTTGAAAATGTTTTAATAAAACGTAGTGTGTGGTTTTTGATGTAGCTTAGTTTTGTAGGCTACTCAAGCTAACTGCAGAGAAGAAGGTTTACCGTCAACAAATGTTTTAAAATGAAAAAAGTGATGGAGATACAGTATTGTTGTACTCGCTGTTGATCATACAAAATAAATACATGTTTAAGACATAACATGTGCTAATTATTGCGTCAATAATAAATAAACAATTTCCTCCAAAGTGTTTTATCCTTCAAAATAAAAGCCCTGAAACTGGACTCTAATATTGAGCTGAGGGAAACCAAACCAACATATTGCAAATCGCCAGGTGTATAAATCAAATAGTGATTATATTTATAGATTATGATTTAGATTATATACATGTAGAACCTTTTTTAAATTACCGAACCACAGTCACACAAACAAAATGCACTCCAAATGACAAACGCAAAGGAATGTAACCAGTCCTGCTCGTATCTTTGCTACTTTGAAAGTTATCTTTCAATTACAAATTAGCTTTTTTCACTTATATCAAACTAATCTATATTAATTTCATTATATTTTTCTGCATGCATATAATTGTGATGAAATGATATGTATTGGTGAAAACTGAAGCTCAAAATAAATGCTTCTTAATGTATAACTTGAAAAGGGTTTTACATGTCTCAATTGCATCAAAATAGCCCTTTTTTGGTGCTAATTTGTACGTATGATCTACTTGTCTGTTGGACCTTTATGTTGAAAAAGGAACATTATAGAACCGGAAGTTGATATCGCTAGCTTGTCGTCATTGCTTGTTGCTCGCTCTCAGCACAACGCTTATCTGGTAAGACAACTTTACTATGACACCGTAATTCATAAGCTTTCACTATTTTAGTGAATTGTGGTAAAAGTTTACTTTTGATGTTTTACAATTTCACTCACATGAATGAAAGCTTACATGTTAGCTAACTGACCCAAAGTATCTCATCAGCTTCTAGTGAACGATAGCGTAACAGCGCACTGTTTACTCTCTTTTACAACTGACAAACTTTACTTATAATTAAAGTCAGGTTATGACGACGTTACGACAAATAAGTGAATACCCTGTCCACTATGTTCTACATCTTCTAATGGCCTCGCTATGTGACGGGGAAACACACAGGACTGACAATGTTTTCGCTTTGTGTGTTTGGGCCATGATTGAGTTTACCGCCTTCTTCTGAACGACCGATATCCGTTTTTCATGACCGATACCGGATATGAGATACGTGAAGCGTGATGGCTGATATCGGGGCCAATAATCCTACTTAATATTAAGACATGGAAGATAAAAACTTGCAGCACTATCATTAATTTTGACACCTTGCAAATAAATTACAGAAATAATGCTATTAAATATATATGACTGGATACCACAGTGTAATAACACTTCATAACATAACGATGCATGTGTTATGTTGCAGGCAGCTAGTTCGTTGAGGTGGACCTGCTATTAAAAAGTTTTTTGGGAAATGTTTTTAAATGTATATAAAAGATAAGAATGCCGTTAAGCATCTTACCAGAAATACAGAAGGAAGAAAGTTAAGTGCAGAATAATGTACATATTACATAACAATTAAATAAGATGTAGAAACAGTAACACTAGTTAAATTCAATTAATTGTATTAACAATTAGTGTGACATTGAAACTATGAATACAATAAGTACCATAACATAGTTGACAGTGCAGGTATTAGGTATACAATGCTGTAACGCTGAGTGCAATTATAGGTAATGCAAATAGTGGACACTATATACAGAATCTCATATCTGATCATGTAAACTGCATGCCAAGGCCTGGTTGTAATGGGATGTGAAATAAATACGATTACCCTCTGAGTCAGTATATCCAGTGTGCAGGTTTATGTACTGCACAGATAATGTAGTGGATTAAAAAAAACAGTGTTTAACTCTCAAATGTAGATATAAAGAAGACCCAAAAGTGTGTCATTATTGTTCGCAAGTATAGGATGTGACTTATTTTCGTTCCCTTCAATTAAGTTATGATTGAGTTTTATATGACACAGGATTTTAAACCCAAATGAATCATGTTATGGATCATGTATTTTCCCATTTGAAATGATATGTTCTTAAAAAAAAAACACAATTCTATACGTTGAACTATTATGGCTTTTAGAGCTATATTTGACTGACCCAGGTTGTACCTTTCCTTTAAGAGTTGTCCACCATGGAAGACGGCCTGTTTGACATTCCTGACTACAACACCATAGAGGATGAACCTTTCCCTCCGCTCCCACCACCTCACTCCCCAGGAGGACAAGAGAACGGAGACCCTTTTGGAAATGGTGAGAAGCGAGAGAATATTCCAATTTAAAGCCAGGTTATACCTAGTGACTGGAAAAAAAATCCAATGATAATCAAAAAGTATTTACAGTTGAAATGCCCATCACTACACATACAAATGGTAATAGTCAAAAGTCACATTTTATTGTCAATCTTTCAGTTTGTGTGTGTGTGGAGGAAATTCCACACAAAACCTAAACAACCTGTTTGGCAAGAAATGAACAAATAATAGAAGTTTAAAACAAAGTTTTGTTAAGACAATACAATCAAAGCATTTAACAGAGTTAATCTATTTCAGCCGAAAGGACCGAGTCTTTCACCAAAAGGTTCGTACAAGATCTGACAACATACAACAGAAAATACAAATACTTTATACACGCAAGGGAAGGGGAAGGTTCTCAGCAAGGCACATTTACATTACAGGAAGTGTTGGCCAGACGGTTGAAACTTGCACACATGTAAAGGCCCAGACACACCAGCCCGATTTTGGGAGTCAGAGGCCGTCAGAGGCAGTCGGGCATTCGCGGCGCCCTACTCAGGTTTGTGTGTCCCGCACCGTTGTCTCTTTACGGCACCTTTTCACACCTCCCGACGCCTCCCGCGGCCGATTCAACATGTTGAATCGGCCGCGGGAGGTCAGAGAAAGTCGGCCCAAGCAATCACTCTGATTGGCTGTTCACACTACCGCTGCCTGCTGGTAAGGACAGTTATTGCCACTCGTCGACTGAAGTATTTGCGGTGTGTTCGTAGGCGGGCGGCGTAGGCGGGCGGCGTAGGCGGGCGGCGTAGGTGGGCGGCGTAGCCGGCGACGTAGCCGACGCAGGCGACGAAGCTGACGTAAAAGTCGGGACGCCTTCGGTACGCGTTCTTTGGTCTCAGGTGGGTGTGTAGCGGCCTTTAATTACAAACCAATGGTCGAAGAGACAGCCTTCTGTCTGTTCTAAGGAAGTGAGAATTAGAGGCTAGATGTGAAATGAGACTTAGGTGCCGTTTACACGAGGACAAAACGGCTTGTATCTGCATAGTTTCTCTTGCGTATAGCCCTATTATTTACACGAGGCCGATAGAAACGGACCCCACAAACGATAACGGGTCCCAAGGTGGATAGATTTGCAAACGAAACGCTCTGGGGGGTCAAACGAGTCCGTGTAATCGCCTCTATACGAATATTTCCTGAAAAAATAACGATAGCCCCGCCTCTCCCCACCTCTCCTGCTCACTGCTGTAGCATGGCCAGTAGCCATCTGATTAATGATACATTTACTACAACAGTGTGTACAGACAGAGAGATCGAATACCGTTTCCCACAATCCCGAGGAATACAAAATACAAATATATCAAAAAATATGTATAAAAATATGTATATATATATATATATATATATTATATATACAATCAACAGACACATTTATACATATGCACACATTAACGACATAAATAAAAGCACAACAATCAATATATACAAAATAACAGTCACTTCTAAATCTGTGAAAAATGTACATTAGTGCAAGACTGTCCATAGCAGCGTGGAAAGTGTCTGGTGCTGGATTTGAGTGTCTGAGTGTGTGTGGGGTGTTAAAGTCATGGTCCAGTGGGGGCAGGTGGGAGAGAGGGAGGGGAGAGAGTTCAGCCTCCTGACAGCCTGGTGGACGAAGCTGTTTTTCAGTCTGGTTGTGCTCGACCTCAGGCTGCGGAACAGGAGGGTGAACAGGCAGGTGGAGGGATGGGTGGGGTCACCCACAATGCTGAGTGCTCTGCGGGTGAGGCGGGTGTTGTAAATGTCCAGGAGTGAGGCCCCGGTGATCCTCTCAGCAGTGTTCACGACGCGCTGCAGGGTCTTGCGGTTGGATGCTGTGCAGCTTCCGAACCACAGCCCCGGTAGAAGAATAGCAAGGCTTTATTCGAAAATACAGCTTAAAATCTACCCTGCTGAAAATGTTCTCTTGTGTAACGTTCAACAAAGGGATGTTGACCACCTGTCCGGTCCTCTGCTGTGTTTGATGCAGGGGACGGAGACGGCGATGTGTCCGGGCTGGCGGACGTCCCTGCTGCTAAAAGGAAAGGCGTGAAGAGACCGCAACCCAAGCTGGACTCTCAGAGGTACCTCAGACATCTGAGCGTTTACATCAAGGCAGAGGATTCATTGTACTGTCAGCTGATATTAGGACGTTTAAACACCAGGACTCCTCAAACTAGGGCTGCAACACAAATACAAATTCTATCAAAATCATTATATTACCTAATTGCATTCAGCGTAATAGATGAAGTTACTGAGTATTTGTTTTTCTACAGGCTCCTCTCAGAAAGAGGTCTTCCAGCTCTGCGAACACTGTTTGATAACGTCCGTTTCAAAGGCAAAGGGAAGGAGGTAAGAGCTGACAAAGCAGCAGGAAACTCCGGAGTAGCTCTTATCAAATGTATTTAATAACATCACATACATTTATCCAACTTTATTATAATGTTTTATCTACGTTCTGTCCCCCCAGGCTGAGGACCTGCGGCTGCTCATGCAGAAGATGGAGAACTGGGCCCACCGGTTGTACCCCAAAATGCAGTTTGAAGATTTTATCGAGAAAGTGGAGAAGCTGGGCAACAAGAAGGAAGTGCAGGTGGGATGAGGATGTTGCTGCTCAATATTTGTATGAGATGTACTTTTTTCGTCAGTGCAGAATGACTAAAATATTTCTTCTTCTCTGCGGCAGACATGCCTCAAACGGATCCGACTGGATATGCCAATGATATACGAAGACTTCATGGGTGGTAAGGAACATGAATTGATCTGAAACATTAGATATTTAATATACATTGTCCGGAATTACAATAATCCCCAGCTAATTGTTGGTTAAATTGACTTTTGGCGCCGTATGCAAACTTTTGAGAGGGTAACATATGGTTTTCTTGGTTTTGAAGTCCATGTATAATCATCCACTCTTCTGTGAACATGTGTCTTTGTTCAGGTGAAGAAGCTCCTGAAACCGACGTCTTCAGGGAGCCAGACCCTTTTGAAGAGGCGGGCTTTAATGACCTGCAACGGCCGATCCACTCCACCCCAGCTCCTGCTGCCCCTCCTCCAATGGCCTCCCCTCCCACTATGCCCTCCCAACCCGCACTATCGTCCCCTCCTTATTCCTCCCCAGCCGCCCCCTCCCTGTCGGAGGAGCAGCGTCGACGCATGGAGCTGAACAGACAACGGGCTTTAGAGAAGAGGCTCTCACGCCAGCAGCAGCCAACAGGTGAGGGTCTATTTATCAGTGCAGTGAGGGACAAATCCTCTACCAATAATGCCAACAAACCTCAGCCAATCACTATCCAGATGCCTTTCGAACAATCAAAAATAAACCAATGGTGATGCTTTCAAGAATATTAATTGCATTCCCAACAGGCCAGTTGGAGATTTTTTATTTAATTATTTTATTTTTAATATAAAACACATTTTTTCCTTAAAAAAAGAAACCCTAAACAATATATAGACATGTATAAAAGAGAATTTAAATAATATTTAATTTACCTTGAAAATCACGCTATTAAAAAAAGTAAGAAATAAAATATATTTCTTAATTTATTTTCTTACTAAAATAAAATATAATAAAAAATTAATTTCACACCAGATTCCGAGCTTCTATTTGTATCCCCCGGATCCCGTCTTCATGTAGATTCATAGGATATATATATAGTGTTAGTATTGTCTGTAAGGCAGTTTGAAAGAAAAATGTAATAATCTGAATAGAATCTATTCTAAATATGTCTAGAATCCAATGCTAAAATATATCATATCATCTGTGTAGTATCAAGAACAGAGATGGGGTCGTTACTAAAAAAAAGTAATATATTAAATATTACATATTACTTTAAAAAAAAAAGTAATATATTACACTACTTCGTTACTCTCTACATAAAGTAACTCGTTACTTTACTCGTTACTTTACTCGCAGGGCCGGCCCGCCCCTCCCTACAGGCAGATCACGCAGACTGCTAAAGTTTCAAATGTTCTCTTTAGTTCAGTTTCCATTGTCGCATAAGACTGATCCAGATAGCTCTGACTATGGCTGTCCTCTGTCTCCTGCTATCTGTATTTTGCGCAGTATATCTCTGAACGATGCGATGGTGATTCCACTGTGCAAATGGGCAACATTACCTCTACTATGAAGGATGCTACAAGCCTGTCCATCTCTGCTTTGGTTACCGGTAATTTGTGCTGCTTCGGTCGGCGGCGGCGCCCTCACAACATCCTCACTCTGGATTCGGGGGTCCTTAGCTATTAGCTTCACCTTAGCATGTGTTCTTTGCAGGTGTTTGTTGAGGTTTGACGTGGTGTTTACAGCAGTGGATAACAGCTTCTGGCCTGGACACAGTTTGCACCTCACCGTCACATTCCTGTCTATTCTTCGGACGAACTCAAAATAATGGGCATACCTCCACCCCTCGAAAGTTATCGCTGACTCAGCCATGTTTATGCAGCACTGCACGTGGAGATGTGGACGTGCAAGTCGCGCAGATTACGTACATATAAACCTGCGGCGGAAACCCCTCTTGTCTGTCAGTGTGATTATGACTGATTTTATAAAAGTAACGAAGTAACGCGTGTCGGGGCAATGTTAGTAACTGTAGTGTGATTACTGAATTATAAAAGTAACGCGTTACACTACTCCGTTACCGACAAAAGTAATATTACAGTAACGCGTTACTTTGTACTTTGTAACGCGTTACACCCAACTCTGATCAAGAATATCATTTTACTTTGAGAAAAGAAGTTTAAACAAACATAAGTATGTTCTTTAAAACTGACATTTACTGTTGACACAATATCTGTCTTTCATAACTCCTCCCCTCACCCTCCAGATCCTTCAGACTCCCAGACTGTCGACTCGACCCCGACTGCTGAACCCACATCTGTCCCCTCTGCTGAACCCACGTCTGCTGAACCCACATCTGCTGAACCCACATCTGTCCCCTCTGCTGAACCCACATCTGTCCCCTCTGCTGAACCCACATCTGTCCCCTCTGCTGAACCCACATCTGTCCCCTCTGCAAACACACCCAGCGATCAGGTGTTAGATAAAATGGAGGATCACGTGGAAGATAAGGTGGAGAATGCGGTAGAAGATAAGATTGAGGATCAGGTGGAGGATAAGATTGAGGATCAGGTGGAGGATAAGATTGAGGATCAGGTGGAAGAGATTGAGGATCAGGTGGAGGATTTGGACCTGAAGCCAGACACACAGGAGCCCAGCGTGCAGCCCCCACACACAGACTCTGAGCTTTCTGCCACATCACCTCAGTGTGAGAAACAGGAAGTACCCAGCCTCAGCCAGGACCCCCAACCCAGCACCGAGTGTGAGGGCGGAGATTAACACTCGGGTGCAGCACACAAGTTTAGGAGCGACTAACTGTACGGCAAAGTTCTCATTTCAAGAACAAATACAACTTGTCTTCTTTGAGTCTGCAAAGAGCAAACCCAACACTTGTTGATATTTCAGAATATATGTATACACATAGCACTGATCCCACATCTGCTGTGTGTTGTTGTAATTTCAGTTACTCCTGAACTGTACTACATGTAAATTGTAAATGGCCATATGACTCTAAATGTCAGTAACATGCCCTCCTGTGTGTGTCTTTTTGTTTATGTAGTAATATAACGGTGCTTTTCTTTTGGACTTTTAAAAAAATGCCTATAAAGATAAATAAAGACTTTCTTTTTTCAAATTGAATCCGTTCAGTATTTGGACACCTCTGTGATTAGTTCAGTGTTGGATACAATCACATAAATTACAAATGAGGGGGACATGACAAAGGGGGGGGGGGGTAGTGTTTGAATGCAGTCTGGTTTGTAATTGCAGGTTTAAGACAGATCCTTATGTACTGAGTTTTGTAGCAAAAATACACAATCCTTCATACAATTTCATATTATTCTAACATATCTGAATTATTGGTTTCCTGTTAAAAAAATAGTTTCTGTAAAAACACCTGAGCAAGTAGCAGTTTTAGGTTTAAGTACATCAGGGCTATTCAATTGGCGGCCCGCGGGCCAAATCCGGCCCCGGGGTGATATTTACTGGCCCTTGGAGTATAATGTTAAAAAGTAATCTACTTTTTTATTTTATTTTCATTTTTTAAAGAGTGCCTTTATTCCAGAGAGGGGAAGACATTGCCTGAAAACTTTGGCGGGCTCGCGTTTCAAACCCACCTACTAGCTACCGTAGTGACAACTCCTGTCATTTATTGCATCTCTGCGTGAATGATTAGATAATTTCACCTAAATGAAATCAAATGAAATGATGTTGATGGTTACATTGCGCGTTCACACCAAGTACTTTGCAGTACTTAGTTCCGGCACTCAGTGCCCCGGCACTTTTTACCCCAGGGCACTAAGTACCAATCGCGTTCACATCGGAGTACTTTTCCCTGAGGGAAGATTACGTAAATGAGCCGCTGACGTCACTTCTTCTTCTTCTGCTTTGGGTTTACTGGCAGGCCACAAACCACTTCACGGCGAGTACAGCAGTGGCGAGCCGTCAGGGCCCTCTAGGCCCTCTGTGAGGGCCTAAGATATTCCAAAAAATAATATTTAAAAACATTAAAAAAAAATATTTTTTTTTAAAATATATATTTTTTTAATATTATTTTTGTTATATTTTTCATTAGTTTTACCGAAAAAAAAACTTGATTTAATAAAATAACATTTCCAAAGAAATAAATCCTTCGAATCTGCCTGTTCAGTCTCTGTTGAATGTGAGAAGCTCGTCTGGCCCTCTCTGCGATTCACAGAGGGCCCGCTATAGTAACTGAACGAGAGAGTAATGTCAAATGACAGTACAATTGACCAATCATATCTTCCCTCTAAATGGGTGGGTTTTATTATCGCGGACTTTATGACGAGTTCCGCCCGCTGTGAAACTTTTCTTGTTTCCATAGCAACAACAACTTCCTGTCAACAGCGTGAACTCGCCTTCAAAATAAAAGCATGCCAAATTACACTTAAGACATACAACTGCAATGAAAGTAACAAACACAATGCAATATCATTTTCAATGTCAAAGAACACAAATTGGGTTCACAGGTGTTGTTTTGTGTGGTAAAGGGTCGCTGTCATTGATGCGTTTTGCACCCTGGGCCGTTGTTTTGATATTCCGCTGAAGTATACGCTGTGACGTAATAACGTCTTTTTTTCGAAGGAAGGGGTGGGGGTCAGAGGGCCTAGGTATAAAGCTCACGGCTCGCCACTGGAGTACAGTAGGTGGCGGTATGCACCTTAAAGTTGTTTGCAATCCGCTACAAAAACAAGAGAAGAAGAAGAAGAAACACTTCCCGCGTATACTGCGACGCCCACCCACTCGCTGTACATTAGGCGTCTGTTTACCTTCCGACCTCAGACATGATGGAGATTATTAGCTGCGTTCACACCGGAGTACTTTTCACCGTACTTTTCGCGTTTAGTTCCGTTAGTACCCCTTATGTCGCGTTCACTCCAAAAAGAGTACTTCATCTCGGGAACTTTTACCCCCATTTTTAGTGCCTGCTGAGAGATCGTACTTTCCTGGGGGAAAAAAGTGCCCCAGTTCTGATTGGCTGGGCGAATAGCAAACCGCGCCCATGGATGTATAATAAGAACTGGATACAGCGTGGGAGGCGGGGCCTCATTCATTCCTATGAGAGTTGCTCATTCGCGCATGATGATAAAATGGCCCAACTTTTGAGAGAGCGAAACGTCACAGATTACCCGGCATGCCTGAGAAGTACCCGTATGTGCGCTCATAGCGCATGCGCAACTTTAACCATGCCCCCCAAAATGCTCGTTCACATCAAGCACGTCAATTTGCGTACACGTAACAGCACCGCACGTTCATGACAGCATGGTAATGGATTGTTATTATGATAGATTTTATATTAACGAGGCGGCAGTAATTATGCTAATTTACACATCAATCGTTATGTACTTTTATATTACGATGTAACAGGATCTAGTGATATCCAAGCAACAGAGCTTCAGTTAGCATGAAAGAATTATTGCACCGTATATATATGTATATGTATGTATACATATATATATATATATATACATATACATATACATACATATATATACATATATATATGTATATATATACACAGTGCAATAAGCTTCTTAGTGCAATAAGAAGCTACAGTGACGTTAATCTACGTCGATATATATTAACTTTATTTAATACAACTTTTGCTGTACAAGATTTAATCATAACGCGTTATTAACGCGTTAACTTGACAGCCCTAATATATATATATTTTATGCTATTTGATCCTATATTATCTTCTATTATACACCTGCATTGTGTACACTGTCTTGTCCCGGCCTGCACCCTGTCCAATGTTGACTAGTAAACACATTCCTAGTATGTTGTAAAACTACATGGCGACTAAACAGATCTTGTATCTTGCTTATTTTCCCTCTTAGGAAAGCGGGCACGGGATGTGAATTTCTTTGACACCGTCGAGGCGTTGGAGGACCGGCGTGCCGTGGTGAAAGAGTCGATGCACCGGGATCAGATGGTGCTGTTCACCAAGGCCCAGGAAACGGAGGACAAGATGCTCACGATGATGGAGCGCCAGGCTGAAGTGTTGAAGCGGCAGATGGAGCGCCAGGAGCACCAGGATGAAGTGTCGGTGCAGGATGAGCGACAAACCACTTTTCAGAATGAATTTCTGGAAGTGCTTTCCCAGCTAGTGAAAGCCAACAGGTCTTCCTCCCTATAGTTGCCACTGTTAACAATGTCTGCTGCTGAGCCTATCCCTACACCTGGGACAGTTCATTTTGTATTGTTTTTATTAATACTGACACACAACTTTGCACTAAGGTGTGTATGCTGCTGAGCCTATCCCTACACCTGGGACAGTTTATTTTATATTATTGTTATTACTGTTATTATATAGTCTTGATACAACTGACACTTTATTTTATATTGATAATGTTAACTTACATGTACAACTTCTATTTTATTTACATTAAACAGATCCTGTAGCTTGCTTATTTCTCCTGACACTTTATCTTTAGTGACCTGTGTAGCATCCTATAATGTACATCACATGTAAGTGATTATTCTGATACCATCATGTTTCATCGGTTATAAACTGGCGAAGCTTTAGTTATCATCAATGTTGCAACCTTGTGGGGGAATGGCAGGGGCACATACACAAATATGATAATTTATATAATTTAAAATATTATTTGACCTAAAACTAAATGTTTTTATGATTGTCCTCTGAGGAGGACATGGGGATTTGCAAACTTTTAATTCCCCCCCATTTTACACAACACAAAATGGAGTCCACTATGGGCCAAAACTAACATGTAGGTTTCCATAGTGTTTATGGCAGACAACACACCTGGCACAGTTTATTGTTATTATATTGCCACACTGTACACTATTGTAATGTTGCCTGTCTTGACTGGAAAATAAGAGAGAAACAAAAGCACTGTACAAAAGATCAGCTTTATTGTCAAAATGTTTACAATGTACAATTTACACGCTGTTCAGATGCCTCATAAGGGCTGTGCGCGTGTCTTGCCCCCCAGCCTCGGCAATGGCTGCCGCTGGCCCATCAAGCTGGGTCGCCGGTAAGGCAGTCCATTCGTCCCTGTACTCATTACTTTCACAAAGGTTATGTAATATGCAACATGCTGCCATCTGGATTTTGATCTTGTCCATCTTGCAATCGTTTCTTTTCATCAAGCACCGCCACCTGCCCTTCAGTCTGCCAAAAGCGTTCTCTACCACCACTCGTGCTCGGCTTGTTTTGTTATTGTACGCAAGTTGCTGGGGTGTGAGCCTTCCTTGGAAAGGTTTCATCAGCCATCTTTGCAGGGTGTAGGCTGAGTCACCAAGGATATAGTAACCCACATCATGTCCACCAATATTCCTTGTTACATGAGGAAGTAGACCACCCTTATCCACAAAACGACACAGCTCAGGCTGCATTAACTCAGTTACAAAGCTGTATAACATGAGCACAAACAGCACAACTTCAGTCGACTAGCTTCACATGTAGGCCTACTGAGTTCTGAACTTGCCATTTAGATCTATAAAGGCCTTGGGGCTATGTTGTTTGATTGAATTAAACACAATATATGCACTCCACTATGCTGTTGTAGTATTTACTGTATCTGAAGCTCCTAAATATGATTGCTCATATTTCAAGCCATCTTTTTCCCGGCCCCTTGCTTTGGATCATTTTCATCAACCGGCTCCCATTCCAAACTAATTGAATAGCCCTGGAGTACATTGTCTGTTTGCACTGAAAAATTAGAAATGAACTACTAGGTTCATTAAAGGAGATTTCTGAGTCTGGTTTGTCACTTGGCGACCACTGTATATAATGTAATATACATGTTGTAAATTGTAGTACAACTTTTTGACTTTAACTTCTTATGTTAACATAACCATTTTTTTATTTGATCTTTACTGGATATTTAACTAATGTTTATACAGTATATAAATATATATATATCTTGATTTGTTTTGTAATCCTTTTATGGCACATTGTTGCTTTAACTTCTTATGGTTATATATAAATATTTTAATTATTTTTATATATGAATCTTTTATTTATATTTATAATGAAATGGAGCAACTGTCAAAGTACCACGATTCGGTTATTTGTAATAATTATCAAATATTGGCCCATATATCATACATGGTTTATCCCACCCTCAAACAGTTGTATCGGTTTGA